ATATATTCAAATTATTTCATTACCCCCACCGACACAGCGCCAAACAGTTTCTTTAGAAACTATCAGCCTTTATTCATAGTGACGCTGCATTTATTTAAGTTTCAAACTCGCAACATGTCAAGAAAATGAATCAAATGAACGCTGCTGAATGCTGGGTAAGCACCTTTCAGTACATTTTAACCATTAGACTGTGAGCTCGCGATTTCTACCGAGTGGTAGATAATGGACGCGATTTAACTACCACGCATAGAAACCGATAGCGAATAGTCTGTTAAATTTACTAGTCGTTCAAAATTTAACAGGACAGACTTAATATATAATAATAATATTAATAATAATAATAATATTTATCTGTATTCTCGTCTTATGCGCTATTACAAAAAGAGAAATGAAATTAGGGTGCTGGCTGCGTAAGTGACCATAGAGGCTAGCGAAGCCAGGCAGCCAAGTGACATCAGCATTGACGAAAAGAGGAAAAAAACTATTACTACGCTATTAGAGATGGCTGAATTTTAATTTTTTCTTTAAACGAGCATAAAATATTGATATAAGAAAAGCACACAATTAATAGCAGTGACATCTAATAACACACTAACATTATGTTTAACAATTATTCGCCGAAGGCGAAGTGAATATTGTTGAATTCGTCTCGGGGATGATTCAATATTCACTGAGCCCAAGGCGAATGATTCCCTTAGAGTAATTGCTTAGGTGCTTTCGAACATTGTTGTAAATATTCGTCAAGATGTTGAAATTAAACTTTTCTGTTTCACTTTTTTTCACCACTCCGGTATCGAGATAAAAAGCCAGTTTCAATAGAATTTGATCGGTTAATTGAATTCAATGACCAAAAACTTCTTATGTTTTTATTTCATTCCGTTTAAAATCACACAATAATGTTTGGCAACCCTCTCATTACTCAGTACCTATCGCGTGATCGATAACGAGTAGCGCGGCCAATCAAATTGCAGCACTTGTAATAGAACACTAGTTGATTTAAAACCTTGTTCCCAGGTTCCTCTCTGGTCCTCCCTCGAAGAAGTAACTTTTTCGAGGAAGGAAGGAAGAGAGAGGATCTTGGGAACGATGTTAGTAGAGTTATACTGGTACAATGTATCATTGCCAACAACAAGTATACCATTGATGTATATACCATTTCCTATGTGCTCTACAAACTCAAACTGCAAGATTCACTGGTAGCCTTTGAATCTTGTAAATTTAATTTCCTGTTATCGAGAACTTATAATTAACGTTGTGGAGCTTTTGATCGGAACTTGAGTAAAGAGATTTTATACCTGATGGCCATGAATTAAAACTCTTGGAGATAAAGGAGTTTTGATCGGAACTTGAGTAAAAGGATTTTATGCCTGATGGCCATAAATTAAAACACTTAGAGATAGTATACTGGACGAAAATAAAATGGTATGTGACAAATATATTGATAGAATTGTTGATCAAGAAAAAAGCACTTTCATAGATAAGTAGCGCAATTGCTGTATAAACATTGTCTTTGAACACTATACAATGTCGAATACATATGTGTATCAATGTGTATAGCCTGCCTCTTTGACCTGTAACATAGTTGGATTTGTCAAGAGAAAGAAAATTCTTAGGGATTATGATCATTCATTAAGGAAGGCAATGACAAAATCCGAGACTCGCGAACAGGTGAGACACTTCATTTTCAGAATGCAAGACAGGGAGTAAGCAAATAACGAGTTGCATTTTATCATTATTACTTTCACTTCACTCAGATCATTTAAAGCAGAGCTAGTAGAGGTACAAGGCATTCTTAATTAGGGTTAGGTTCGGATAAACTTTTTTGAGTTTATGTCTGCGATACATCAGCTTCTACATGATTTCCAAACGAAAATTTGATGAAACGAAGTTTCGCCGCCTCACTAAGCTGTCAAAGATCCTCAACGAGGAGAAGAAAGCCAAGTTTTAGTGAATTTTGAAAAAGATATGAAACTTCGAGACCCATCATATTTGGAGATGGAATAAAAGATTTTATGAGAGTGTAGCTTTTGCAAAGTACTTAAGCTACCACATTTGCAACAAGCGTGTTTCTAAATTGGATCATTGTTTAACAAAGATTTCACCAAAGAATGAAGAGCGAGTTTAAGTTGTACTTGTAAGACGCTGAGTTTAGGCTGCAGGTCTCCTTGCGAAGCTGATCTCTTGGTTTTTCGAAGAGGCTAATAACTGAAGTCAAATTCGGTGAAATTAAGTCCAATGTGAGAACCATGAAACCGCTCCAAACTGTCCTGCACGAATAACCAACCTGTTTTTATTTCATTCACCTGAATATTACGAAGAAAGAAAACTATAACAGTTGAAATGTTTGGCTGATCCACTTTTGAACACGTGCGTTATTTATTGCCGTTTGTTAACTTAACTGCAACCCTCCAGTTGACATTCTATATTTCTCCCGATT